AATCATAAAAACCCGACCAGTCGTAATGCGTAAACGTGCTTTAACTCCTGTGACAAGCACAATCTCTAACAACTGACCAAGTACAGATCAAATTTGTATAAAAAACATTCAATAAAAGTTCATTATAATGATTGATTAAGAACGTTTTAAAAGTGGTGACGCTAGTAAAGCTGCTACATGTGGCAACTTTGCATATAGAGTTCCATATATATCTTTACAATCCAATTAAAAAATGAGGCCTGAAATGTAGTTGTTTTACAATATGGTGTTTTTAAAACAACGGTGAAATTACTACTGAGACGTGTTCGCCCATGAGTGACAAAGGAGACAAAGTCTTCCACATTTAAGTCGTAAAATCCATGGAGAGCTTTATAGAAGAACATCAAGTATCTTATTTCTCGATCATAACATAAAGGTAACATATTTAGAATAGATAACCTGTCTCGATACGGAACATCTCTCACCTTAACTTTCAGGATCCATCTAGTGGCACGCCTTTGTATTTGTTCTAATTTGATTTTCAGGTTACTTTGGTGAGGAGACCAGACTTCACTTGCGTAGCATACTTGTGATTTGACAAGGGCCAAATACAGTGTTCTCCTGACATGCACTTGAGTCAAGAGAGGGCAGGTTCTTTTCAGTAGCCCGACCATTCTATTGGCTTTCGCAGATATCCTTTGAATGTGAGAATCCCATGATAGGCTACTGGTCATTAGTACACCGAGATCTTTTTCTTCTTGAACTTTATTGATAGGAAACAGGTCAAGATGATAGATAAAGGGGATAGGTTGTTTCTTTCTAGTAACTGTCATCGACTTGCATTTCGACTCGTTAAAAGAAATGTTATTGTTGCTACTCCAGGTCGACAAATTAGATAGAGCTTGTTGTAAGTCACAAGAATCACCTTCGAAAGTTATTCCTCTGAATGATTTGGTGTCGTCAGCACATAGCGCAACTTTCGTTGTCTGTGGCACAGCATTCGGAAGATCGTTTATGAAAATAACAAACAGCAAGGGTCCCAGTATGCTGCCCTGAAGCACACCAGAAGTCACATGTGTCCAGCCAGAGAATACCCCTTCCATGACAACCCTTTGAGTCCGATTATTAAGATAGTCTCGAAACCAATTAAGAACCATCCCTCTAACACCAAAAAACTTACGCTTTTCTATTATTAAATTATGGTCGACGAAGTCGAAGGCTTTGGCGAAATCTAAACACAGTATATCTGTTTGGATATTTTTGTCTAGGTTTTGTCTGAATAAATGAAGCACTTGTAAGAGTTGAGTTACGCACGAACGATTCCTTACAAATCCATGTTGTTGTGCAGAAATCCATGTTGTTGTGTGATCATATAGCCTTTTACTCACACAACGTTCCAAGACTTTGGCTATAATTGGAAGAAGATCAGAGATATGGGTCTATAATTTTCAGCCGGTTCTCTAATTATTCTGTCATTTAATTTTGTCATTTCTGGTTCTCTAATTGTTCTGTCATTTAATCAAACCAGTATTTAAATTTCTGGGATGGGTGCAAATTTCTCTAGGTGGGGTGGGAAATCTTTCTGAGACGGTGTAAATATTTTTGGGGGTGCATACCACTTGCACCCCCCCCCCCTCCCCGAAAATCCATCTACGATTGCCATCAGATAATTATGTTACTATGGTATTAATATTGCGACTTCGCATTTGGCTATTCTGCATTCTAATGCCTTGTCCCATGTGTTGTCAGTGATATCTAGAACCAATAATTCCTGCAAGATAAAAGACAACAGTCATATAATTACACTAATATTATTACACATTCTTCCCCCTCAAAAACAGAATTTATTACCAGAAATCGTGCATGCTTCTTCTTATCCATAAAACTGCATAAGTACTATTTTACATAGTACTGAAATGTCAAATCATTACCCACTAGTTTAATCAAAGTTTCTCTGCATAACCAATTTAATTAAAATCAAGACAATGACAGGGAAAGATAACAATTTGTTCAAGAGAATGGAAGGATCCACAGTTAGGTAATAAGAATATTCTTGTTGTAGTTCTTTGTTTATTGCACTCTGTTATGGAAATATGGTTTGAACATTGAAACATCCAGAATAATCCACACTCCAACTATAGATAGAGGAAATTTCTGCTGTCTAAAGAATCTACTCCTGATAAAAGCAAAATGCACTATAAATAGGAAGGGAGCTTGCAACTTCACATTTCCTGTGTAAGGGATGATGTGAATGTTTTCCGGAATAACCCATTTATGCTTGGGTACAACGTTTGTGTTTTTGAAAATATCAAAATTTTATTACCCATATAGTGCATCTTAGAGGTGTATGTTGTAATAAAACTTATCTAACAAAAGCAGGACAGATTCTTACCCAAGATTAACAATCATATGATGCTTCTTAGATTTATTTAAGTTTGTGAAGGTCTGAAGGACAACTAGTTGCTTGTTTGAGAACCAGTCTGGGACAGGATAGTGTTACTTGATACTGGATTGGCTCATAACTAAGCATAGCAGTAGCCACAAGGTGGGCTGGGCCGCCTTTGAGAGATACTTAAATCTATTGAGAAATGGAGGAGCTAGGGGATGTGTGCAAAATACAATAACTTATACTGCAAAGACATTTAATCAACAAGACATAAAGTAACGGTACATGATTTTTTTTGTAAATGATTCTTACTGATTGTTTTTACCAAGCTAGCGAATGTGATTGCATTTTAGGGCTCTGAGAGGCCTCAGATTTCAAACTTTTCTGGGTGAGCATGCCCCATACTCGTTAACAGGCTCATGCCTTCAGCAGCTCTCTCACTGGCACATCCACCAATTTCTTGATGACGGCATAAATTGTTTCCCCACTTCTGTTTTACTGGCTATGCCACTGCTCACAACATCAAATTTAACAGTTTCAGGAGTCTCTTAACACTTGATTATATGGCAAAATCGGATCAGTCAATTTATTGTATGTGGGCCATTTACAGTACACAACGATACATGTATATGTTGACGTCATATATAAACAAGTGAATCCAGTGTAGTGGCCCTGGCTATTTTACCCCCTATGCTCTCTCTCTCTGACCTTGTCCTAATCCTGGTCTATATTAAGTGTAAATGATTTTCACACCATTTATCTGTGTAAACAAACTCGCCCAAACGGGTTATGAAGATGCCACAAATTATAAATTAAAATACAAAGTTGGCAAAGACACTTCGCCAAAGCTAAAACAAACCAGTAAATCTTATGACCACAATTTCTCACATTTTACAAGGTTTTTTTATGACTTATATGTGCAATATTGAAATATTTGCACTTCATATTGACATGAGTGAACGAGTGTTGAGTTTTGACAAAATATTTTTATAATTTCGTACTATCCGTTATCCAAGTCCCATAAATCTTACCTGTGAAAAGAATTACTCATCCGTTATGTAAAAGTAAAATTTTGCATCAGCAAGCAGATCAAAACGGCACTTTAACTCCTTCCAAAGTTGTAAACAACCCCAGCAAAATACGAGAAAATATTATGTTTTTAACTAAAAACAGTGCCAAACCAGGGGGTGAAAACTTGGTTTGAAGCTCAGGATCGCGGTTGGTCAGTGGTAATTGCGTGAGAATTACGGACCAGTTGTCATGGAAATGGCGTCAGTAAGCGTCAAAATCCACCATTTTGTTTTGCTTCACTTCGATGACTGAACGAAGTATAGGAGCAGGTCCTCCAGTTATTATACAGCTCAGTGGGAGTACTTCTCAAAAGCGCACTGGCTAGGACCATGACGTAAGTATTTTCATGACGATTCATGGCGTGGCAGCGGTTACTCCAGTCGACCTTCTGTATGTCTTTATATTCTGTAACGAAGTGGCGCTGGCATTGGCTTCACGTTCCTCCAGCATGTTATCGTTCCAAATAAAAGACATCAGGGCATTTTTTAACTATATAAGTACAGGGCATTTACCCCAGTAGGCCCTTTGCTTGCCCCAGTAGTGAAGCATGATTTTCAGATCAACTGGGCCCTTTTGGTCATTAGTAAAAGGTTAACCTTGTTGAGAATGCAGCATCTGCCTGCTTTCTCATATCCTCTCAAATTCTCGACATTAATTTCCTCTTATAAAAGTCAGTACAGGCAGGGGCGGTGCTAAAATGGGTTGTGGGTGTGGAAGGTCGTCAGATAGTCGGCAAACCATCGAATTTCTTTGTCTTGGCCTTTTGTTTTCTTTGTTTTCTAAACGGCACTAATGACGATTTGGCATAATTATTCATCTAACTTACCAACCCTGGTTGGATGAAAAAAAATACTAATTAGCGTTTGAAAATTAGTAAGCAGTATATCACTTACACCCCCAACCCCACCCCCTATTCAAATAGCGCTAGCGGCGCTGCCCCTGAGCACACAGTGATTTTTATGTACTCGTATAAACTGTGTGGGGAAAAGGCTCTTATTGATGTACTAAAACTGTCTGTACCAGTGTGGGTAGTACCAATGTGAAAATGCTGTGCTGAGTGGTTATATTACTACCTTAAAAATAAGTAGAAACTCGACGTTTCGAGCGAAGGCCCTTCGTCAAGAG